ACCCAAAGAGTATCTTTACATGTTTCTAGATGTAAATCGTCCATGTTGGTAAAGTCCTGAGAAGGACTGTTGATGTTGATGTTAACTGACGTTTCGACAACCTTGGCGGTTGACTCTGAAGATGACTACAGCTAAAGGAAATCTCAGTCAACATCAACACGAACAGTCCTTCTCATGTCTCTGAACCTGGACGATCTACATCCACAAAATTTTTAAGTAAACAAACAGTTTAAAATTAAAAAGACATTGATCATGAAGTGCAGCAAGCAAAAGGCTTTATTCTTAGCAAGTAAAAGATATGCCTTAAATGTGTTAAAATCCATATTTTTCATTTCGTTTGTGTGTTTGCAAATCCTATCTTCACTGCTCCACTACGACGTTCTCCCTGAGCGCCTTGCAGGCAAAAGAAACCCTAAAATATCCCACCTTCATTTCCACAAAACTCCTCAGCGCCTTGCAGGCAAAAGAAACCCTAAAATATCCACCTTCATTTCCATAACACTCCTCAGCGCTTGCACAAAAGAAACCTAATATATTCCACCTTCATTTACAACTCCCTCAGCGCCTTGCAGGCAAAAGAAACTAAAATATCCCACCTTCATTTCCACGACACTCGCAAACAATGTAATAAACCAATGTAGCGTTATAAGCGATAGTTCTGTAAAATAAAAAAATATTCAGAAAACATTCAAAAACAAAATAGTCTATTTCTTAACAATTTGTTTAAGTAATGTTACTGTGTCTCATAGACATTCCACGTAATATTTCACAATATTCATTAAACATATATTATATAATATTTTAATAGAAACTAAAAGAATAGAACATGCATAAATGAATAGACCCCCCTTCCAATTATCAATCCACCACTGCCCTGCATGCCTCCCGATAGGACATACAGTCGTAATAAAATGAAGGGTTTGAACCCAATAGTATCCATGTATATTTGTAGATGTTGATCGTCCAGGTTAGTAAAGTCTTGAGAGGACTGTTGAAAATACAACCGCAAACGATATCAAAACGTTTATCAACACTTACACCAAAACGCCTCGCAGTACTGTACAAAACCATGATAATCAACATCTATAAAAATGTGCAGTCGTATGTCGCCATTATATATAGTTAGCATCTAACCTATGTCATGTTCTTTTTAACGATTCATCCAGTTTTGGTGATAACTGACTATGAGTTGTCTTAATACTCTTTGATCAGCCTGCAAAACAATTGAAACTTCTTCTTCGTTCTACGTTTCATGCAACAAACACGTGTACATTGAGACTTGACAGTTTCACAATTAGTGACGTATTCAGCTCTCAAATTTGGTCATGTTATGTTAATTTTTCAGTGTTCACTTACTGAAAAAACAATAGATTTCTAAAGAAATGAATGATGCCAATGTTCTAAAGTTTACATAGCAGGACAAAAACTTGCAAGCTGTCTACGCCACTGTTCACAATCATTTATGCAAAAAAAAAAACTCCATGGTTTGAATGATAAATATTTTCAAGAAAACTAAAGTTAGTTACTCTCAGTGGACATTTTTATTATGTCTTGTTCTTCACGATACTCTGACAAAGACAAAATTCTGCATTTCAGTAGTAAATTTAACCTAAATTATCTACTAACGTCGGTCATGTCACAGCGTCATGCAGTTGACACGTGATTACATATGTATGAGTTAGATGAACAAACCTGAACTCCAATTAGTGTACTTGAATAATATGAAGGGGGAACAAGATCTTCGATGATCGTACACATTAACCAAAATGTGTCTTCTTCTTCAATAAACAGTAATAAATTCGCTACAATCTACAAAGAAATTTTACAATAGGTCCAATGTTTTGAGATCAGATTACTTCCTATAAGAACTTTTGTTTCAACATCAGATCATTCCTGATGAAGACATTAGACAAAGTATATAAGGACTCAAGAACAACATTAGATTACTGATGAAGACACTAGACTGGAGTATATAAGAACTCAAGTTTCAACATCAGATCACTCCTGATGAAGATACTAGACAGGAGTATATAAGAACTCAAGTTTCAACATCAGATCACTCCTGATGAAGACACTAGACAGGAGTATATAAGAACTCAAGTTTCAACATTAGATCACTCCTGATGAAGACACTAGACTGGAGTATATAAGAACTCAAGTTTCAACATCAGATCACTTCTGACAAAGACATTAAAGGACATAAGAACTGGAGAATATGGACTTAAATTTCAAAACTTATGCATGCAAAACTAACCATGCCCATTCCTGACAATAGCCAACATCAGGATAAAGCCACGAGACCCTTCAATATCCTGAGCCTTGTTCCTGTGCTGGTCAAAGTTGAGAAACATGCATTGCTTGGCAGCGTTCTCAACAAATCCTTTAATTTAGCGAGAGTGGCTGAACAATCACTTCCTGGCTTTGACAATTTGCTAAAAGATCACAATTCATGATGAATATAAATTTTACAAGTCTTTAGATGTAAATCTTAAAGGTAAAGTGCAGTCCCTAAAAGGGTCAGTATTGACTGATGTTTCAAAATTCTTAAGGGAAGTCATGGTCAGACCGTGGTTACAGGTAAGAAACTAAAGTGACTTAGGTTATCAAAATGCAGTCAATATCAACACCAATCTTCGGCAATCAAGTCCACTTAAATAATATTTCCATGAAATGACAGCTCAGAAAATGAATTAAAAGGAGAATGTAATTTCAAACCTTGTATGTGAAGTCCATGGATTGTTTTATGTAGTGCTCCAGATATCCTCATCCAAATCTGTGAATAAAAATAATCTTGCAGAAAGTTCAACATGACACAAAAATATATTTAAGTCATATGATGTCAACACGGTGGTGCATGCTATGTGGGATACCAGTCAACTTACAGGTATCGCATGCTATGTGGGATACCAGTCAACTTACAGGTGGTGCATGCTATGTGGGATACCAGTCAACTTACAGGTGGTCGCATGCTATGTGGGATACCAGTCAACTTACAGGTGGTCGCATGCTATGTGGGATACCAGTCAACTTACAGGTGATGCATGCTATGTGGGATACCAGTCAACTTACTGGTGGTTGCATGCTATGTGGGATACCAGTCAACTTACAGGTGGTGCATGCTATGTGGGATACCAGTTGAAACAGAAAAAAATCATGCTATGTGGGATACCAGTCAACACAGGTGGTGCGCATTACTATGTGGGATATCAGTCAACTTACGGGTGGTTGCATGCTATGTGGGATACCAGTCAACTTACGGGTGGTATGCTTGTAGAAGGATACAGATCAACTTACAGGTGGTCGATGCTATGTGGGATACCAGTAATCCAACTTACGGGTGGTCGCATGCTCAATGGGACTCAGTCAACTTTTACAGGTGGTCGGCATTTGTATTGGGATACCAGTCAACTTACCGGTTTGGTATGCTATGTGGGATATCAGTCAACTTACAGATGCATGGCGGATACCGAGTCAACTTACAGGTAATCGCATACTATGTGGGATACCAGAGATCAACTACGGGTGATGCATGCCTATGTGGGATACCAGTCAACTTGGGTGGTGCAAAATGCTATGTGGGATACCAGTTCAACTACGGGTGGAATTGCATGCCATGTGGGATATCAGTCAACTTTGGTGGTGCATGCTATGTGGGATATCAGTCAACTTACAGGTGGTCGCATGCTATGTGGGATATCAGTCAACTTACAGGTGGTCGCATGCTATGTGGGATACCAGTCAACTTACGGGTGGTCGCATGCTATGTGGGATACCAGCATGAACAAGTTCTCTTAATTTCTCGCTTCTTGCAAAGATCGGAGACACCTAGTTGACAAGAAAAAAATCATTTTCTAAGTAAGTGATGCAATAAGGTGAAAAAAGTTGCACCACCCCCCATGATTCAACTATAAAATCTCCCCCCCCAAAAAAAAATCCCTCTTTTGTACATATTCAAGAAAATGGTTAGTTCAACTAGTTTGAAACATGCAAAATTAGTGATAAAGGAATTATTAAATGTAGAATGTTTATAAGAGGGTGCATGCAGGTTGATGTTGATGCATAACTCCTAATTGACTATAGCAACTCCCCACCTCCCAAAAAAATTAAAAATAGTTTGCATATAGTAGGATTTTATTTGGGATATCATCATTGGCTAGAAGATAAAATGCACTATGACTAAGACTTATATTAAGAATGCAACTTAGTAATTGACAACTCAAAGCTCAAGAAAACATTTTCTAGCTCAACATTTTGAAAAATCAGCACACCCTAATTAGCATTGAACACATGAACATGAATTACTTGACATACCTTATCCCAGGTGAGTTCACCAAGATCCTGGTTTTGAGTAAACTCAAGATGAGCCTGCCATTTAAGTTTGTGATTTGGATTTTCATCCGTAGCAAAATGATTTGACTCCAATGGAGCATTTTCACCTGTGGTTAAAGACATTTCAAATTAAATCACAAAATATATGTAAGTTTAGTTGTAAATTGTG